TAGCGACTTAGTCCTTTGAGAGCAATACTTCATGCAGTAGGTTTAAGTGCTTGAAGTCTCCTGCTTTTGTTAATGGACGATAAGTCTTGTAGACTTGATATAAAACCATATGCATATTATTTTTTTAAAAATTAATTTTTTTTGTATTCAGTTCTACACTGATTTTGCTGTACTAGTTTACACAAAATTGTTGTTTTATATATTTATATCTATAAATACACAATATTCATGTACACTAAAGTATAATTTAATATCATTGTTAACATTTGGTTTCATAATCATGACATAACATTTACCAGCAAAGTTCATTCAGCCAATTGATGTATGAGCCAACAATTTTGCAATGATCTATTGTCTTTAATATGTTGTATCTACATTGTTTGTCTGTGTTTTAAATTATATCCTTTTTTTCTTCTCTTCATTTAATATGTTGTATCTACATTGTATGTCTGTGTTTTAAATTATATCCTTTTTTTTCTTCTCTTCATTTACTATGTTGTATCTACATTGTTTGTCTGTGTTTTAAATTATATCCTTTTTTTTCTCTTCATTTAATATGATTTAAAAAAGAATAATTCAGTTTCCTGTGCCAGGTTACATACTTCTGGCAACAGTCACTAAACCACTTCACTCGCTAGTGGTTTATCCTGACCATGTGGACAAGACAAATCAAAAAGGAAGATTACATTAAATGACAAACCATTTCAAAATGTGGAAGCTTCCAAGCAGTAAAATAACATTTTGGTATCTTTTGCAGTGCAACATATTAATTTATTCCTTAGGCCTGCAAAATGTAAACATTTTTTTAACATTACTTCTGTGTTCATTTTTTTTAACAACATTATCAAAAATGAGGATGGATCCACTGAATAAATTTAAAGCAGGAATCCTCAAAATTTTCATTAAAATCATCCATTAATTGTACTTGTACAGTGTACTTATATTATGTCATGATCTGCGGATATTCAATTTAATTTTGTAACTCAAATGATATCAGTGGAATCATAATTGTCGCTCCATTTTTTTAAATATTTAAAATTTATTTGTAATTAGTAGCAAATACATTTTTTTTAACTTTATCTGCATTTCACCAATATCCTTTTTCTAAATACAATCTACATTTGGCTAATACGTATATCAGTTCATTTTAAATTGGATCAACAACGATATTGGCCAGTAATTCAATTCTTGTTCAAAGGAGTTTTATTTAAAAAATACATTCAGTAATTTGACCATTTAAGAAATCTAAAACTTCCCTAAATTTAAGGAAAAATATATGTTGCAATGTTGAAGCTAATAAAACATAATTCATTTTTTTTTTTTTAAACTTTAAAAATCGTACATAAACATTTGTATGTTGTCATAATTTATACCAAATTAGTTTTGCTTTTGATGGTAGCACCAATTGATGAAGCCAATCAGTTTATAGATGTGCTTCAATGTCAGTCTGCAATGCACCAGAGATTTCTCCTGCAAGAGTAATGAAAATAAGTTTTTTGTCATGGATTTTATGTTCAGATGAAATCACTGTTATAAAGTTGATGAATAGATGTTGTCAAAACCTTTGTAACATTTAGTTCATTCATTTTGTACATTTATTTTGAGCTCTTTGTCAAAGTTGAACAGGCTTAATGATATGTGCAATAACCATATGTTTGTAGTTAGTTTAGTCTTTCTGTATTCATCAATCTCATCATTAGACAGTTAACAACCGCATGCAATATTAGTTATATTAGATTAAAGAATATAATAAATTTAAAAAGTCAAAAGAAATTTAAGCAAACAAGAAAGCAGATGGTACTATACTTTAATTAATAGCAAGTCAAATTTAACAATAAATTATCCATTTGACCAAAATGCAAGCTATTATCAACATATGGTAAATGCATACATTTTGGGGGGTTTTAATTAAAAGAGCAACCTGTGTTTAAAATGTTTTGAAAATGTAAATACATAATTTATGCACTTTGAACATAATTTTAAATTTCCAGAACCTGACATTTGTGCAAATTTAAATTTCTTTACTGTGTAATAATGTTCTTTTCAAATGTGACAAATTTGAAAATGTAATGCATCTCCTCTGGTTATACATCATCTGTGCAACAGCAACAAGAAAGCAACATAACATATCCTGCAAAGCAAAAATAAGATACCGGATAATAAGTTCTGTATATTTTGATGAGACTCTACCTCAGGTCAAAATTAATAGGCATATTACCTTTTTGATACACAGCAATGCGGGGACTACAACTATATCTGAATTATCTGACACTTTTGGAGAAGTTTAAATTTGATTTGGAATGGATAGGTGTTCTACTTATGTCTGTTCTATTCAGATCTGATATTGGAAAATGGTCCTTTTAAACTGGTGAGAAAATGCTTGTAAACATTTGCATATGTAGTTCATATCAACATCGGGTTTTGTTTTTGTGGAAAATTTTTTTTTTCAATAAAACTGGCAAATATTTTTCAACTACTAAAAGTAGGTTATACATATGATTAGATTATACACAGGATTCTCAGCTTAACCTGCCTGCCCCCCCCCCCCGGCTCCATTTGACATTTGTCTATGTGATGTACCATCTCTAACCGATTCCACTTATCTATGCGATGTACCATCTCTAACGAAACAGGATTTGTTTGTGGGTTAGCCTCTGGTCTGGGCACCACAATAATGTTAATGAAGATGGAGCCCAGGTCAGGGACATGATTCTTTTAGAGTCGTCACTCGATATGAATTATCAGTTACAGCAGTTTTATGCCCTGTCTACTAGCAAGATAAGCACGAGTGAAAGCACTAGACACCACCTGTTGTGCTCAAGGCAGACTGGTTTAAGTGGTTCATCCTGTATAATTTAATCATGTGTTTCATTTGAGTTTTTGTCATTGTTACCAATAATGAGATCTTGTAAAAATGTATTTGTCTACAAAATATAAAATCGTCCCTAAAATAAAACGAATGAAACTTTATCTCTAAATTGTACCAAATAAGAAAACTATAGTTGATGTTTCTATGTTAATTAAAATGAATTCTGTTGCATTCAGAGAACTAACTTTCAAGTGTTAATTTTGCTTTTTAAAAATTATAATTTAAGTAAATGAGAAAAAATGCATTATCTTCTGTAGATTAAATTTGTCAGATTTCTTTGATTTCACTATTTCCTCGTTGTTAAAACATTTCTTTTTCCGTAAGTGATCACTCGATGTAATGAAAACTGATCTTAGTTTGACATAACAGTTAGACATTCTCTTTAGGAACTGTATGAATGGTCAAATAAGTATGAATTCTCAAATATATATATATTTTGTCTGATTATTGTTTGTGTTTTCAAATGATGCACTTATTTTTTATCGTCGTTTTATCACTTTTTTTATATTGAACAAGTTTATAGGTTTTTTAAAGTTGAAATGAATGCGTTTTTGAGGCAACATGATTATTATGTATAAACTCTCCAAATATTATGATTTAATAGAATAATACATGGGTATCTCTCCCATTTCCATGAATAGAATAATTGCAAAGATCTCCAGTAACCACCAAATTTCACCATAATTTTCTAATTAGCAATTCCCTAGTTTGTTCTAATACTTCATAGTTTGCACTGAAAGGTAAAAACCATTTTTTTTTAATTTTAAAACATTATTAATAAGCCCCGGTTTTTAATGTTCACTCCAACTCCAAGACATCAATTTTAAAAATGAAAAATAGTTTCATTATTCATAAAAATTTTCCAACTAATTCGATAATACAAACAAGATTATTTTCATAATAGTGCAATTAGAGACGAGAGAAAAAGAAAATTTATGCGAATGTCATGTATAAAAGTCTGCCTTATCTAATCAAACGCTATGAACAAAAAAAATTGTATTTCCTTTATCAATCTCAGTTCACAGCATTTACCATTAATTTATTTACTGCCATTGTTTTGTATGAACATTTATTATTATTATAATTACAATTTGCCAGTTTATACGCAATTAAATTGTTAGTCATTACAGACTTGGATTTTTTTTTAAAGAAGTTTTTTGACAGAATAAATGTCTTATAGGTTAAGAGTGGAATCACTAAAAAAAAATTAGGAAATGTTTGCAGAACTTCAACTTATACCCAGTTACTTTGTTGTTGGCTTTTTTTTGTGGGGGTTCATTTTAAATATTTGGAGAAGATGGACAGCTGTTATTAAAACCCATGTTAATTTGATGACTTAAGGGTATACATGACACCCGGACACCACAGGTTCATCAGCTCTTCAAATTCAGAATGCTACGTTCTCTACCTTAATATAAATGCTATTGCTACTTTCAGAACCCCACATAAACTTATGCTAAGTCTCAAAAAAGAAAAACACAATAACAAATAACACAAGACATGTATGTTCATTTATAATTAAATCCAAATATTTATTTTTGGAGGCTTAATTTAGTTGGAAGAAGCATCAATATTTAACATGCTATCACAGAGCAGCTTTCAATAGGAACAAATAATAGTTTGAAATTAACAATATTATGAATCATGTGACATTTTAAAGAAAATGTAAAATATACAACAAAATATTAAGGTAATTAATAAAATTTAAAAATTTAAAAACATGAACAAATTACATTATATTCTTAATATTCTTACAATTTTTTTTACAATATTATCGTATTTTTAATCTTTGAATGAAATAGAGGGGAAATAATTATGCTGTTGTAAAAATTGCCCAAAAAATGTGCAGAAACACTACTAAACAGATTTGTTACATTATGGCTATTCATCTGTTTATGGAACTGTGTAGTCTAACATGAGGGAATTATCAACAATGATTATTATTTCAATAATAAATAAGGTTAAAAAAATATTTGAATGCCCTATATGTGAATCCATAAAGTCAGGGATAAAAAAATTGTATGTACATCAAAATAATGTAAAGTAGGAACTAAAACTGAAAGAAAAAAATTTTCAATAAAAGTCAAGTGCAAAATGTATGAGCCAAATGTCTGTCATTATTGAATGTACTTTACCAGGGCCTCCACATTGTTTCTGGTGAAATTTGATGCGCCTCATTTCCTTTAACACACAGATTAAGTGCACTGTTTTCTGTTGACGTCCGCTTAGTGACAGGTGTCGATAAAATAGGAGCACTGCTAATTGGTGTTGAAATGTAATGAACTGGCCGTACCAAGGCACTGGAGATAGCAGGGTATGGCTCATACCCTCTGTAGCAGTAAATAGGTGTGTCGGGTGTCACAGTGTTCGTGTTTAAAAGTGCAGCTGGGTGCATTATAATGGGAGAGCTGACTGAAGGTGTGTAGGCTGACATAGACAGGACTGATGAAGGATATGATTGATCTGTCGCCAGAGGTGCGTACGGGCTGACGAAGTGCTCCCTGGGAAATTCTGGGGTAACAGCTTCATACTTGTGCACTGCAGAGCTGTGTACTTCATTGCGTTGTCTGCATTTGAGGTCTCTGGAGCCCTCACTGGTTTCAGTGATAATCAATGAGTCTTGGTCTGCAGATCTCTGGTAATGGTTCAGGCGTTCCACTTTTGGATATGCATCAGGTGTGCTTGTAACACGGTCACATTGTTGTGAAATAGGTGCTGTTGTACTGTGTGTTATGTTATACTGAAGGGCAGGTGTTGAAGAGTTAATGGGAGATGGAACATACACTCCCCTGGCTTCTGTGGTTTCACAGTGACTGCCAGAAATTTGTTCTGCTTCTTCTGCTGTGTATTTCTCAGTTGACAAATAGGATGAGGACGACACAGATGAGGTGGGAAAATTTGAGCCAAAGTTCACATTTTGATCATCAACTTGAACCACTGTCTCCATTCTTCTCGCAATAGCTCTAAGGTGGTTCTGTAGTTGTACTTTAACTTCAGTAGGAACAAGGCGAGAACTCTGTATGTAACGAATGGACTCTTCAGCACATGAACTGAACCCTGAAGCATAACGCACTGCCATGGCCTTACGTGCAGAAAATGTATTCCCACTAGTGGAACTGCTATAATCATGACGCAATCTTGTGAGAACTTCAAGAGTTTTCTCTAAAATTTCAGCTTTTTCCATTTTGTCTAAGTCTGTGTCCTGAGAATAAAACAGAAAATATTTAAATTTCTATAGAAGTTTAATTAAAAGTAGCATTGATTATTAAAAATGTAATCACCTAAATAAAACAAAAACATTAGACTTATATTAATATGGCCAAAACGTTCCCATAGATATATTGCAAGCAGAATGTTAATTAAAATATTAAAATCTTATAGTCAGCAACAAATACTTAGCCTGCTAAACTACTATAACAGGATATGAATAATTGTCATATGACATAGGCCTTAAATTTTATTATAATATATAAATATATATACAGTGAAGAGTATTTTGTGCAGCATACCTTATCTTCTTCCCCTTCACAAACCAAATCTCGAATTTGCATTAAACAATTATTAATGCGAGCTCGTCTCTTCTTTTCTGCGAGCAACTTTTTACCCTGTAAAAAAAAAAAGAAAAACATTAATTCATTATTAATATTAAATTATTAACCAATTTATCACCGTTTAATGTTATAAACAGGGTCATACTCTATTTTTTATTAGTAATATTAGACTTGTGAATTTAAAATGTTAACTTATATATGCCTAACTAAAATCATATAATATAATATACACACTTTTAAGTGTCTTAACCTTAGTCTTAAGTCCCAGTCAGTAATCAGTAAGATAATAACTTGAATCATGTTAACTTTAATAAATTGAATCTATTATTATTACTATTACTATTACTAACTTAACTAACTCCCCCTCTTTAATTATAATAATTGGCTTGTTAATATGCTAAGATTTTAACTAAGTTAACACTGGATTTAACTTCTTACTTAAGTACCTAGAGTTACTAAAAAAAATACTTAGAAATAGTAACTAAGTAAAGTTAAAAGTAAGTCGAACTCTACTCTAACTTCTATAATCTAAATCTAAGCCTACCTAGACTTGACCTCTGCCTCTAGACCAAAATAAAATAATTTATTTTAGTTAGTTATTTTTAAATTTTATCGACTTACCTTTCTATGAGTTGGCCTGTAGTTATCTATATCGTGAGACTGACTGGTTGCTTCACAAACATTCGTTAAGTTATCCATTTTGTGAAAGTGGTGACTGGTGATCATGCACATTAAACAGAAACCGAAAGTAGAAAATGCACTGCAAGTGAGTGAAAATATGATCACCCAACTCCGACGGATTGAAAACTGCTACACAGCCTACGTTTATAAAAATAAATAGTTCTCCTGTTCACTAAGTTACTGTCTCCAAAATACTGGAGTTTAACTGTAGGATTTAGTGAATCTGAACGTCCATTCCGATACATGGTTTGTTTTATATCCATTCCTTGCTAAAGCCCACGCCAAGTGTCACTGGAAACGAAGCTTCGCTGACACCGGAACAATGATGACGTTCCGAAAGACCCGACCAATCAGAGTGCTCCGATTTACTATCGGCACGCGCCCGTGCATACCGCCAGAGCAGATGTGGGCCTGAAACAGCGTCTGCACTTCGGGCGGATATTTATTGCTTTTTTGAATTGTCTGATATCAGTAAGTGATGGAACGCAGCTCCCCCATGTGCGGAAGGGGTTTGTGGGGGAGGGGGATAAATCCCGTTATTATTCAGCGCTGCTAAAAAACATGAAATTAGAGAAACGCTTGGCAGGGTGCTGTTGCGTGACACTTCGGGGTTGAGTCGCTAAAAACGTGTCGTCGTCGTGGTAAATGATATGGGCTTTGTGTTACATCTTTTAATCTATGACTTATATGAAGTTATTATTATTATGATAATTCGCGTTGGTAGATTTTCTTATTAATGTCTTGTTAACTCGTCTGTTTATGCTTTCTCAATAACATTACCATATTTTACTTGGACCTAAAACTAGTAATAGATTATAATTATACATTCTTTTATTTGTTTTGTAAATTTCGGGGAAAGGGAGGGGGGGGGGGGACTTACCCTATAAAATATCTCTTCGTAAAGAAAATATATTTTTCTCCATTTCTTCTATATTTCTTCGGTTTTATTTACACAATGTGTCTCATCAATCTGCTTAAAAGCTTTATCCGCAGTCTCTTCAACTCTCCCACACCGGGCCGCCTTAAGAACATAGGGAGCCCTGGGCACAGCAATGCACTGGGGCCCCCAGCAACACAACACACCAGGGTCGTTATAAGGGTGGGGGGGGGAGTGAAGTGGGGCACTCGCCCCATGCTCAAACAGTGAGGGGGGGGGGGCGCAAACAGTTGTTGCTCCCAACCCAACTCACCAAGAAGAATAAAATAGTAAAATAAGAATAAACATATAATAAAGTTAAAAATAGGTTAATTCAACTTATTTATACGCCAAAAAACAAAAAAAATCATTCCAGTGCAATAACTCCCACATCTCCCTATATGGACACTACTTGGCTGCTCTAGTGTTATAACTTTTGAAATGATTTTACTATTATATTGTTATTACTTTTATTACTTTTGAACTGACTTAACTACTCTATTGTTATTACTTTTATTACTTTTGAACTGACTTAACTACTCTATTGTTATTACTTTTGAACTGACTTAACTACTCTATTGTTATTACTTTTGAACTGACTTAACTACTCTATTGTTATTACTTTTGAACTGACTTAACTACTCTATTGCTATTACTATTGAGCCGATTCAATTACTTTATTTCTATATTACTTTTGAACTGACTTAACTACTCTATTGTTATTACTTTTATTACTTTTGAACTGACTTAACTACTCTATTGTTATTACTTTTGAACTGACTTAACTACTCTATTGTTATTACTTTTGAACTGACTTAACTACTCTATTGTTATTACTTTTATTACTTTTGAACTGACTTAACTACTCTATTGTTATTACTTTTGAACTGACTTAACTACTCTATTGTTATTACTTTTGAACTGACTTAACTACTCTATTGTTATTACTATTACTTTTGAACTGACTGAACTACTCTATTGTTTTTTCTTTTGAACTGACTTAACTACTCTATTGTTATTACTTTTGAACTGACTTAACTACTCTATTGTTATTACTTTTGAACTGACTTAACTACTCTATTGCTATTACTATTGAGCTGATTCAATTACTTTATTTCTATATTACTTTTGAACTGACTTAACTACTCTATTGTTATTACTTTTGAACTGACTTAACTACTCTATTGCTAAATTACTTTTGAACTGACTTAACTACTCTATTGCTATCACTTTTGAGCTGACTTAATTACTTATTACTTTTGAACTGACTTAACTACTCTATTGCTATTACTATTGAGCCGATTCAATTACTTTATTTCTATATTACTTTTGAACTGACTTAACCACTCTACTGTTATTACTTTTGAACTGACTAAAATAATAGTTCCATTGTTATTTAAAGTTATCTGGAAAAAAAAATTCCTCCAAGCTATCGTGTCCGGATAATCTTTTCATTCCTCGGCCTTCTGGACCCATCTCATGATAACCCTTTCCAGCACAACCTCCCCCCCCCCGACTCCACACCAAAACAAACTGTCACGTGACCGCGTGTGAGCATTCCCGCCAACAGATCATTGTGCGTTAATTACCGCGCCCCCCCCCCCCTCTCTCTCTCTCTCTCTCTCTCACGCGCGCGTTGATCTCTGTCCGGGCATGACACGAGCAATAATGGCGGTTATGCAGATGGGGTTCTATAGGAAATGAATGCCGACCCCAGCGCGATGACCGGGGGTGACGAAAAGCAGATGGACAGATGTTGACGTGGGCCGGGCTGTTACATCAACTCTTGGCACGTGCAGTGGACGGCCATGCAGTTGAATTCCGCTGGTGTGCGGGACAAGGGTGCTCTCACGATGGAACAGGACTTTAAGCATTGTAAAAAAAAAAAAAATTAAATCTATGTCGACTATGTTATGAGAATGAGGAGGGGTTTGTTAAAATTAAATAATTTGCCAGTCTCTTGTTTTTTAGCTTGTTTTATGTTTATAGTTTGTGTTTCAGTTAGACTTTTGTAAGGGAATGATATTGAACAATAGATTGAGAATATAATATATTATACAGAGATAGACTGGCACCTTTCTTGAAGTCCTCAGCGGTAGTAAAATGACAAAAAGTGTACAGGAAGGTGGGATTATTTGAGATGTTTCTTTCCACTCAACCGACATTAAAAATATAGACTTTATAGTGGTAAAAATTTGTTGTTTTATCTGTTTCTGTGCTTTGAGAGAAGCTAACTGATAAGTACTATATTATCTCTCTTTTTCTCCCTCTCTCATATTTCTCTGTTTCTTCATCTCTCTCTGTTTCTTCATTTTCCGTTTCTTCATCTCTCTCGCTGTTTCTTCATCTCCGTTTCTTTCTTCCCCCCCTCTCTCTCTCTCTCTCTCTCTCTGTGTGTTTCTTCATCTCCGTTTCTTCATCTCTCTTTGTTTTTTCATCTCTTTCTCTCAGTATCTCTCTTATCTCTCTCTCCTCTAATCTGCATTCTAACTTTCTTCCTTTAAAAAAAAAAAAAGAATTCTAAATCTAGGCCTTGATTTTATACACAGCTATTTATATATAAATATATATATNATATATATATATATATATCCGGACTCTGGATAAAATATTTCAACATTTTATTATCTAATAGAATTTCATGTGATAAAAAGTAAAAGCGATATCTTATTACGTCATCCAATAAGGACGTCGCGACGTCATGTAAACTGCAAAACGAAAAGGGTAAGAAAAACAAATTATAACCGTGGAATTGTTTTCCACCAATCTCGCCATCCTTCTCAGAGTGTTCTAGGTTTCCACATTTTCACTCCCTGACCCAAAATTATCCGACTTCGCCCTTCTTGGCCGTCCAGACGGCGCGCAAATTTTAAATGAACTCTGGACCCCAGTGTATTTTTAGGGGCGGTTGCGAAGGCTGGTCTAATCCTTTTACGGCTTGAGACAGATTCGACGCCCTCTCAAGACGCCAGACACTGGTCCATGTGAGAGGTGACAATGAAAAATGACCAGCGGTCAAGAGCGCAGGCGTAAGCCATACGTCGGCGCCGGAGCACGCGTCTGATTCGATGCAATTTTTGGGCTCCATCCAGAGCGATGCCAAGAAACGTGCACAAAATAATCGATAAAGCAATGTCAATGGACGATTGTGTCCGAAATTAACCGCAGGGTTGAAACATTTCAAGGTGGAAGAATGGTAATGGTAATAAGGTGAGACCAGGTTAGCAAAAAAGGAAATAAGTAAAACAAAGTATGGTCAAACCCCCCAAAAAAGGAACGCAACAAAACTACGAATGTTTTGGCAGGAAGCCTTCGTCAGCGAACAAACAACAGAAAAAAACAGAATAAAATTTTTAAATAGCACTTAGTTGAGAGTTGAGAGGTAGTATCCGAGAGGGAAACAAAAAAAAAAAATTCAACCTAGGTTACTGCTTTCAACGCCTAAATTATTGTTAGTCCGTGTATTTATATATAATTCTATATTATATAGGCAGGATGGTAATACTATATATATAGACCGCTGTAACTCAAAGCAAATTATTCCGGGGCCTAAACTGAAATCTCCCATTTGCACCGACCCTGAATGGAATAATTTCCACGATTTTGGAATGTTTATTTGGTGGTGGGGGGGGGGGGGGGGGGGGGGGGGGGGGGGGTGGATACTATGGTAAATCAATTTTAAATACTACCTCTCTAAGCAAACTTTGAAATTCTTCAACGCTACTCGGTAGAGTTATCGTAAGTATTTAATTCATTGATGGACATGAATTACCGTCCTTGAATTAATACAAATGAAACATGAAAATCCCTATAGAATGTTATCATTGGTTTTCAACATTAACCTTGGAGAGAGGTCTACCATGTGTAGGTCAAAGGTCAACAATGAATTATATTATCTTTCAACTCTGTTTAGTGGGACGAAAAAGAGATTTGTTCAAAACGCATGTACCTTATGAATCGTGTACGGGGGAGGGGGGGGGGTCTTGGACACCTCGAATTTTTAATAGCGTATGGTATGTAAAAATAATAATAAGTTTAAAAAAATGTGACTGTCAAAGGGAGGGGGGGGTCTTGGACACCTCGAAACCGGTTAAAGTGGCAC